GTGTATAATGTATATAGGCATGAACTTTTCAGCTACAGATAACTGGTTTTTTTCTTCTATTCTTTTTTTTTTTGCATTCTACTTTCATGACAATTGCTTTGATGCTTAATGTTGTCTACAAAGTGCCTATAGCCGTTATGTTCGTTATTCTTTTGAGAATTACATCTGTTAGTTCATTAAACAGACAACAAGAATTATTCATTCTTTACCTATTGATGAATAGTATTGACCTTAATTGTTAAGTTCTCCTACTGTTTTCTCTCGTGACTTATGTCAAAAACTAGGACTGTCATCATTAGCGATATGCATATTGTTTCATTTGATAGAACTTTTTATTTATGATCCATTCTTTCTATTTTTCTTCGTATCTGTTTCTGAAAAAAAACATAATAATAATAAAAATTTAGACAGAATACAGATCAAATTACAAACTATGATACAGAAATGTTGACTTGTCAACACTAATCGAGTCATTTGTATGATTGAATAATAACACAAAAAGTATTGTTATTAAAATAATTCAAAGCTTTGTGTTGTCTTCTAAAAGATTATATTTTTTTCTTCGTAAGAGTTGAGAATAACCTATTATTATATGATGAAATTGCGAGTAGAAAAAAAGACAACAGAAAGAATTTTTTTTTGTTTTTTCCGCTATTGTTTTCAATTTAAAACTAACAATATTGTTTCTCGATCATTCTTTTTTCCCCCCGATATGAAAAAAAGTTAAACGACGTTGAATAGCTTTGTTTTCTTTCAATCGGGTAGAAATCAAAAGTTCTGTATGTCATGTAAGAAACAAGTTTATGATAGCTTATTATTAAGCTGTTTTCCTCAAACAAGAATTTGACAGAGTATTTTGACATAGAATATTAGAATAGTTAATAAAAAAAAATAGTATCATTACATTAATATTTTCATAAGTTAACTATTTTCTAGTACAATCTTTGTCATATTGAGATCTATATGCATGTTTATGGAGTAAAGAATCTATTTTGAGTAATAATGGTGCTTAGTACCAAATATGTAATTGTTTGATCTTTACCTCTGGATCATCTTATTGTTAGTTTTTCTTTTCATCTATATTAGCCATTGATATATCTAACATGCAAAGAATTTAGCTAATTGTTTTCTAATAATATCTATGTTTTTCTTTGAATGAAATTAGGAGAGAAGATAAGAGAGAAACATACACAGGAAACAATGTATATGACAGAAATGTATTTATCTCCTTCTTTCTTTTTTCTTAATTATTGCAGATTTAACAATATGTGTGACATACTGGTTAATAGGATCATTTTTGCATTAATGAGTTTCCTGAACTTCTACTATACGTTATCTTCTTTTCTCAATTAAAGATAAATGCTCCGTTGAATAGAGAAGTATATATTGCTGATAGCCGTTCTTGTATATAGATTTTCCTCTTCTTCTCTTTTTTTCTCTGTTCCATTTTTCTTTTTTCTCTGTTGTATATATATATATATATTAATTTTTTACCATTATTAATAAGAACATCAACACCAGAGAAACAGGCGATGTGAACTAATCAATGTTATAATAGATAGAAGCAAAATACAATATATTTCATATATATACACAATTTTCTCATTTTCTCCTTTTCTTCATATATTCTTGTTGTTTCTACTATTTGTCTCATTGGTAAGTTTTTTTTCTTGTGATGACAATGATTATCATCCTAGTTTCCTTTCAAAAGTCATCAACAAGCTAATCAATTCTAACCAGTAACTGAATATAAGACAACAGAGAGAAAAAAAAAGAGGAAGAGATTTAGATGACAAATAATCGTCATATGCTTGGTTAGTTGAATACGCTAAATCAGTCAACAATAAAGAACGTCTTTTTTTTCATATTTAACATAAACAATTGACACTAGTATTTCACATTGTATATGCTTATTGTTGCAGGTCATTCTCATCCCTTTTCATTTTTATTTCCTCTTTCTGGTCGTCATCATCATCATTATTTACTTGTTGCCAACATCTTGTCGTTGCAATGAAATCTCAAATGTTCACTCTGCTTTTACTGGTCATTAGCACCTTTTTCTTTCAATCAACACATCAGGTAAATCATTAAAATAGTTCAATTTATTATTCTTTTTTTTTTTGTCTTAGTATCGTCTCTCAAAACGTGAACTAACTGAATATGATGTATGTAAATAAAAAACCGTTTTAACATAATTTCTATAAAGGATTTATTTATGTCAACGTAGTTAACCAGTTTCATTGTCAATACATGTTCAGCTGATAAAACTGACATGTTTATCCAGAATCTGTGCGATCAAACATTGCAGTCGGCACTTATGGGTGTAAGTATTATTATAAAAGTTTCTTTTTTTTTCTTGCAGAAATATACTTTATGATCAGTGGTAGGAGTTATAGTAGTAAGTAGTAATAGCCCACGGGCATTATGTGTAAAAATGTTGGTTTTGTGTTAATATATGCACTTCCGGTCACGTTACATTTTCTTTTATATAGAATTTTCCAATTCTGACCTATTATTGTAAAACAATCGGTGTCAAAATGAGTTATTGTAATAATTTTAACGGCCCCATAGATAGTGATCAGAATGCTGAACCTAAGGTGATTTACTTGCTAACAAAAAAAAAATGATTTTTTATTTATATTTATATATATATATATATATAATAGCGATTTGTTTCTCGTCGATTTGCACGAAGTCTCAATAAAGATAACAAATTGTATCACAAAGGACAAGAGATCGATAATGACGTTGACGTATGTATATTTTACATAAAAAAAACCATGAAGAAAATTCCACATCAATATTATCTTTTATTTTAGCTTGAAGAAAAATTGATTATGCAATTGTGTATGACAACAACAACTGAGAAAAGTTCAGTTGATACGGAAAAATTCTGCAATCGAACGTTATATGAAGTTCTGCAAGGAGTAAAATAAATTATAATTATTATTCTAGCTTTTTGTGTAATTTTCTCTTTTCTATCTATTAATTTTCTAGCGACATCCTGCAATAAAACGTCTTTGCAAGTATCATCCGAGCTTTGATTATTGCCATCGTATACGGTCTTATTCATTATTACTCTCTTGGCCATTATCAAAAGCATCATCTATCTTATCATCATCATCATCAAATTCTATTACACCTGATGTTAAGCCTATGTTCGTGCCATCGTCAGCATCCAAATCATCTGACATTGAATCATTCATCCATCAACAAAGGATCAATAAGGAAAACAATTATCATCAACAAATCAATATTTAAAAGAATAATTTTGCCCTGACCAATTTCTAAGTCCAAAGGCGTCATCATCATGTATGAGAGAGACAGATAATAATAAAGAAGTGCAGGAAAACAGTAAAAAAAATATATTCAACTAAAAAAGAAATAATCTCTCCCATTGTATGTGTCTAGAATTCATCTCCGCTTATATTGCCCTCTGCATGTTTTGTTCGTTTATATGTATATAACAAACAACGGGAAAATGGAAAAAAAAAAGTACAAAATCATATTTATAAATTGTTAAAATCATATATTAAGGAAGAGGAATAAAAACAAATTATATAACGAGGTTTATACAATGCAAAAAAAAAAATGACACTTTGCATTTTTAATCGTCATCATTTTGTTCGAGTCATCCTTCGGTATTCAAGCTTTATGAGATTAAAATAAACGGTCATAGAGATTGAATACCAAAGAGGCAACCCGGCCAACTATTTCGATAGAAAAAAAATATATATCACTTGAAATTCTCACATCTATTTAACAAGATCAATAGCACAAGAATAACCACAGTGGCGCTTACAAATTTATTCTAACTGATCTTAAGATTACTATTTGGATATACGATTGCACAAGATTGTATGTTACTTCTAGAAGAAAATGAAAGAGTATCCATGAAATAAGAGAGTAAAGCACAGCAAGCGAAAACCATCACTGTGTAGTAAAGGTGAGGAAGCATATTGAAATATGTCTTGCATTTTTCTTCTGCTTCTTTTCTTTTACTTCTTCGTTGTCATCGCTTTTGCTGTCTTAACATCAACAAACTTCATCAAATACAGTCTTAAAGAAAAAACGAACCTTGCATCGTTTGTCGATCACACTAGGTGTCTTCTACTATTTTACAGTGGTAGTGCATGAATATATATATACCTATGTCTAATCTTTCCTGTATATATATATATTGTTGTTGACGATTCTTTCTCTCCTTTTTTTTTTCTTTCCATCGATATGGTTCAAAACGATTATTTTTTTTTCTAATGTATATATATGATGAGAAAAAAAAGAGGTGGCTCGATCTTGTTCTTTCGACACAATAGGTCGTCGTCATTTTCGTTAGCAGTGCATTACATACGAAAATGCCACCATATGATTATTCCTAAACATTTAATTTAATGCGACAAATGTATAATACATACGTTGACATGTATTTAAAAAGAACGAACAAGGCAGAATAATAATCATTTCTATTGTTCCTTGATTCGAATGCATTTATTGAATAGAGAAATAGAGAGCACAGCGCTTACAAAAGAAAAAAAAAGAGGTGGAATAGCAAATTCACTTTAGGTGTATACACACGTAATACTAGCCTGCTTACAAAACTAAATAGCGCAGTATGCCGAGTATTCGAGTAATAACAAAAAAGAAAAAGAGGAACGAAAAAAAAAACGAGAGTCTTACAGAGGCCAAAGTATACATAGTTATATGTACTTTAATAATAAAAAAAAAGAATTTGTGTTGTCATATGAGCGAATTCACAGTATACAAAAAATAAATAAATAACAAGATCCAGAAAAGAAAATGAAATCGTCTGTTTTGTTCTTGACTACACATATAAAAAGAAAATCGACAAATAAAAAACATGGAAGACGAAACGTGAAGAACAAATTCTTTTTTTTTTTCGTCGAACAATATTGAGACAAAATATTGCAAATATAGTAAGATGAAAAATATTTCGAAACAAAAAACAAAACATCTGATTATTTAAAATAGAACGACTAAATTTATAATTTTGACGATGATGTGTATTTTGTTGCTCTAAGTTAAGAGAAACAAAAACAAGTTATTTTAAAATAATTATAAATTTCATTTCATAATATTTTACTGAAGCATAGACCATTTCTCTTTTTCATTTGCTGTTGCTGGTGGTTCACATTCAAATGAAGCAAGCATTAAAGCTAAAAATAAATAAATGTTTATTAAAGAAAATTAGAATATTTATCATACAGTTTTCATTGAATATCGGTGATGTTGTTATATAATTAATAATTATATCATTTCGTTCAAATGAACACTAAAATAAATATGAAAGATTTTAGATAATTATTTTACTATTCACATAGTTTGCATTGTGTCATAAAGACAAATTTCTATAGAACTTATCCGAAAAAAAAAACAAATAGATAGACTAATTTCGAAGTCTATAAAAATTAATTCGAATAATTTTTTTCTTTATTATTATTTATAAATAGATACATAAGAAAAACAAAAACAACTGAAATTATTTCAAATTTCGATCAAAGATCATATTACTATAAACTATGAATCATCAATCCTCGATAGGATGGTAAATGATATTTTGACTAATTTTTTTCTTTTTGTATCAGTCTTATCTAATGATGAATACATGACAGGAAATAAGAATAGTGTCTTTTATATAGATCAAACATTTCCTTTTGTATGCGGATAATAGTTTTTATAATACTAAAAAAGCTACATAAAAGATAATAAGAAACTGAGCTATTTAAAGAATATAGATTTTACTGGAATAAGATTGCATACTTTACTCTGTTTACATTGTATAAATTCTTCGGAAATAAATTTTGCCATAGAATAATATTTCTATGAGAGAAAAAAAATATTTAAATATTATTTTTATTAAAAAAAAAAAAAAAAAAAAAAAAAAAAAAGAATAAACCTTTAAATTAACACCACCTGCTACTGTATCATCTTTACTATGTGTTTTTATATAATAAACATCTTGTAAAACAAGACTAGTAAATGGTATAACTATTTTATCTACTGCCCAACCATATTTTTCAGCTTCTTCTTTTGCTGATTTAAATATAAGACGATAATTAGCAAAATTTTTTGAAACATTCATATATTGTTCAAGTTGTTCGAGTTTATTTAATTGAATTTTTTTCCACTAAAAGAAATATTTTAATTAAGAACAAGAAAAAGAATATTTTATACTGCATATTCACCGTTCTTTTTAGACGTTTTACTGGTTGCATATTTAAACCACCTTAAAGAAATCGTCAATATATCGACTTTTATTTCAATATAATAAATTCCATTTTTAGATACAAAACAAAACAAATGTTTTTTAACGTTAAAAGAAAATTACATTAAGATATAAATAACTCTTCAAACGATTGTTTCGTATTCAGGATTAAACATAATAACTAGGTACTTCAAAAGATATATGATACTATTGGGACCTATGAATGCAACGTTTCTCATGATAAATGTTGAAGAATTCATAAAAAATTTATAAAATTGTTATGACATATGTATATTAGAGTATACTTAAAAAATATCGTGAAACTATGCTTCTTTTTCCTACTTAAACTTTTCATACTTCTCATGTAAAATTATATGACATATTTCATAAGTGACATTGATAAATTTGTATTCTTACTTGATCAACTTGACAAGTACTAAGAAAACTTATGATTCTAGATTGAAATAAAAATATTTCGTTTTCATTTAATAATGGAAATGAGTTATAACATGAATTTTGTAAGTTGTCTATATGCAAAAAGAATTTTACTGATACGGAAATCTCAAGACTCTGAATCTCATAAGAGGCATTGCACGTAAGCCACGATCAATTCAAGCAGACCCTTGTTCAATCAATCTCACTGATTTCGCTGATATTTTTACAGGAGGTAGGTCTAACATACCTAGGAAGAAACTGAAAGTTTCAGCTCCAACGGATGACATGTTCTGGAGATATAGACGTCGCAAGTAGGTGGGGGTAGGTCTAATTTGGAGCACTTTGCATTGGAATACTTTCTAGTAAATTTTCATTTTCTCGAAAACAACAAGAGGTATAGCCGAGATTTTGTTACCATAAATACTATCGATGATGGACTACATTTTTATGATAATAAAAGTATCTCATCGTCGGATGATTTTTACTTGGCATTATAGACCATTTTTAGAAAACATTCTCATGTAGATACGACAAGTTAGTCGAATCAGCACAAAAGAATAAATCGAGAATGATCTCATTTGAAAGAGCACATCAAAATGTGTTGACTGACGTTTTCAAAAGTTTGTGGCATTGAACTTTGGTAGCACAAATGTTTTGAACAAGACTGGAGAGACCATGAATTTTGGTCCCAATTCTCACCATGAAGATTGGTAATTTTCTTTCAAATGTTTGATCTAAGTGTTTCAGATGAAAGTCCATGTTAAGAAACCTCTAGTTTTAAAATTTCAGCTCATTTGAACTTGTCTGTGAAACATGATGAATCATTCATTTTCGTGAAATATCATAGGATAGCATATATAGTCCGTCTAATTTTTCTCATATCCATATTTCAATTAACGTGCGACCAAAAGATCTAAAATTTTTACCATGAGTTATACTCATCAAGTACTTTATATGTGTAAAGTTTCAGCTCAAAATTCGAATATTGATTTTTTTCGAATTATCTGTGGGAAATTGTCGTAGTCCCCCTCAGAACCATGAAGAAAAATCAAAGTTCGAATTTTGAGGTGAAACTTTGTGTATATTAAGCACTCAATGAGAATAGTTTATGATAAAAATTTCAGATCTTTTGGTCGTACTTTAACTGAAATATGGATATCAGAAAAATTAGACGGTCTCTGTATGCTATCCTAACATATTTTACACAAATAAATGGTTCACCATTCTTCAGAGGAAAGTTAAAATGAGCTGAAATTTTGCACATAGAAGTTTCTCGACATGGGCTTTCATCTGAAACACTTAAATCAAACATTTCAAAATAAATCACCAATCTTCATAATGAGGATCGGGCCCCAAATTCGATCTTTTCAGTCTTGTTCAAAAACTTTTTGCTACCAAAGTTCAATACCACAAACTGTTGAAAACGTTAGTCGCCACATTTAGATGCCCTCTTTCAAATAAGACTACTCTCGGATTATTCTATTGCGCTGATTCGAGCATCTTACTGTATCTACGTGAGGATGTTTTCTAAAAATGCTATATAATACCAAGCAAAAATCATCCTGTGATAAGATACTTTTATTACCATAAAAATTTAGCTCATCATTGATAGTATGGATGATGAAAAAATTTCGGCGATATCTCTTGTTGTTTTTGAGAAAATTAAAATTTACTGGAAAATATTGCAATAAAAAGTGCTCCAAATGAGACCTACTCCTCTTGCTTGCAACACCTATATCTTCAGAACACGTCATTCGTTTGAGCTGAAATTCTTAGTTTCTTCCTAAGTCTGTTAGGCCTACCTACTGTAGAAATATCAGCCAAATCGGTGAGATCGATTGAGCAACGTTGTTCGTGGCTTACGTACAATGCCTCCTAAGTATGCAGACTGTAAATTTGCATTTCACTTAAATACAACAGCTGTCTATCAGATCTTTCAAGTATGTTCTTGACAAAAAACAAATAATATAAAACCAATCTTTGAAATAATGTTTTAAGTATTGAAATATTAATAAAAGCTTTTTTTTTTACCAATTATTCCAATCATTGAATTAAAATTATGTAAACGAAAACATTCATAAGCACCATCAATAAAATAATTAATAAGTCGTATACGTAAACGTTTTTGTGTATGTTTAACAATTTCTGTAGTAACAAAAGAAGTTAAACGATTAAACCATTGTATATAAGTTTCAAGACAGAATGTTAATTTTTTATCATGAACTATTGCTAATGATTTATCATCTGATGTTCTTGTTTCATCATTAGAAATTCTATTTGGATGAGCTCGTGCTTCTTCTGATGATAATTTCATAATATAATATTGTATTAATTCTTCAGCACCAATCGGTTTTAATCTATCCTACGAGAAAATAAAATACAATAGGATAAAAATAAATTATATTCGAATAAATAAATACCAGTTCAATATAAGTTAATTGTTGAGCAAATAATACTGGTGTTGGACACTCGTTTATAATATCAGTCTAAAGAAAGTACAAAATTAGGATTGACAAAGAAAAACTATGTAATTTACAATTAATGCCGTGTGAGTATGATTATTTAGTGCTTTTGTGTTTAATTGTCGAATATACTCTTCATAATTTTCTAATGCTTTTAGCTACAAAAACAAATAAAACAGTGACAGCAGTAAAATAAAAAAAATTGTTTTGTAAGTTTTTGTTTTATTAACTTTTGAGAGTAGTTTTTTCTTTATATTATGCGTATCTGACTGAAGAATTGGCTCATAAGAATTGATCTTTTTTAAAACTTCTTCTAATTGTGTTCTCATATCTGTATTACGAAAATCATATGGAAAAGTACGTGTCCATTCTAACAAAATATGAAGAAAATTTTTCATTGTTCGAATACTTCGATCCTATAATTAAAAAAATTAATATATGTATATAAACATTTAAATGAAAAATTTTTTCCACACATACACGAGTTACATCTTTTATTGAATTCATTGTTAATTGTGTTAATTTATTAAGTAACATACTCGGTTGAATATGCATTCTTGAACACAAGAGCATTGAATAAATAAATGATTGCTAAAGAAATAAGAATTATATAAAATTCTAACAATATTCACATAGAGTTAAAAATATGAAATATCTTGAAAATGATGCATCTCTCAGATTTGATCACTAATGAGAGAAGTACACTACCTAATACCCTCGTTCGAGCTCATATTGAATCCACACGTAAGTGTAAGCTAGATTAGACGAAGTTCAAAAAAGTTCATCCCCGTGAATCTTTGTCGCTAATTGTGAGTGGTTCAATGAATTTTAGATTCAATTGTAGGTAGTTCCAAAAAACATCAACATGACCGAATTTTGATCTAAAATTTTGCGTATAATTAGACTTAATGACTTTTAGATGATCCTGGAAGTTTCAGCCGAAGAGAATGTTTCTTCGTGAAGATGTCAAATTTCCAAAAATAGTCTATTGTCACGAACATATGAAAACCGATTTCACCTGAAAACTGAATAACTCAACGAATGAACATTCTTTTCGACTGAAACTTTTAGGATATGCGAAGACTCAATAGACCTACTGATAGGTAAAATTCTATATCAAAACTTTGTTATTCGACCTTCCGACGGGTACCTTAAAATGAATAAAAAAATCTAGTAAATCGGTCATAACTGGATTCCAAAGACCAATGGAGAAAAACTGTTCTAGCTATTTTCTATTCTCACTGAGACTTGTCTGCGCGTTTGATATAATATACACTCAAACAATGAGTATCATTTAGGGTAGTTTTTCTCATAAAGTTTGAAGGACTATCCGTTAATTACTAGTCGAAAAAAGGTAAATCTGTAAGCGGATATTTCACAACAAAAAAAAGTTGAAGAAATTATTCAAAAACCTGTGGTATATAAGTATCATTAGGTATCAATCGTTCAATGAGTGAATCCATTGTATAGTGAAGATAATCAAGTGATGGATTATCATCATTATTTGATGAATATGATAAAGCAGGATCAACTACTGATGTTCGATAAGGTATTGGAGACTATAAAGGAAAAAGAAAAGAAAAGAAACTATTGAATCAATTATTTTAATTACCTACTTGAGGTTCAGGTGATCTTCGGATTGGCTTAGGTGCTGGTTTGAATAAGAAATTTTCATGTGGTTGACAGTTTGTGATTATAGGCAATCTTTCTCTTGACTGTCTAAGTGCTGTTGAAGGAAAAGATTGATTTTGAAGTTGAGGAACAGGCGTATTTGAACGAACTTGTGCAAAAATACGATTATAATACGTTATTGGTGATAATGCATTATTTTCAAAACCATATATATCATGAGTTAAATGTTGTGGTGCTTGTTGTTGTTGATGGTGGTGATCAGCACAATTCATATATAAATAACGTTGATTTACAGTATTTGATTGTTGTTTTTCTTGTAAACAAATATTTTCGTGAGCAGATGGTGAATATGAATGTCGACAATAATTATTTGATGCATTTAGTTTAAAATTAGATGTAAAATTATTGCGATATATTGGAGTATTACCAGTATAGCAGCCGTTAGATGGACCATAACTATCTATACTATCGTTCATGATTAACTCTGAGAAAAAAAAAAACAAAAGAGATAAAGATAAGATTTTATTTTGCTGTAGTTAATTGTTATTGTTCATCTCTTTTTATCAAAACAAGAATCATACAAAGAAGAAGCAAAAAAAAATGAAACACTCATTTCATTCACTTATTATTGGTTTTTGCTGTTATATAAAATATATATATACATAAAAAGGAAGAAGCATTATGTGATTTAAAAGAATTGGACGGATTTTTTTTTTTGAATCAAAGAAAAGCAAAAGGAAAAAAAAGAATGATTATATGTGTCAGTGATGTTTTGAACGTTTGTCACTGCCGCTTGATGATCTGATATCTCGTCCTCCTCCTCCCCCTGTACTCGTTCCACCACTTGTTTCTTCTGACCTGTCTGAAAGTACATCATCAACTGTATACGGTTGTTGTTCAACTGATGAGCGATATGAATTTTTTTTGTTCATTATGTCATTACTATTGACTAATGGTGCAAGTTTCTTTTTATAAAGATGTGTCTTTGGTGGTAATGATGTTTGTTTTACATTATTAGTAACATCTTCTAATGCTTTTGTCGATGTTGCAGAAAATTCATCAGTGTAAGATGATGTCGATTTTGCACTGCTAATCGGTTTAAGACGACCACTTGGTGGTCGCATAGTACTTGCTGACGGCAATGAGTTCGAAAGAAATGCATCAGCTTGTTGCTTTGTTCGAAATACTTTTTGACCAGCAACTGTTAAATCAAGTGTAGGAATAGATTCATTTGAATTTGATTTTGAGCCAGATTTAAGTCGATTGGTTGTTGATTGACTTCCACTACCTGATCCAATACGATTTGATGATGGATTTGGAAATTCTTTATGTAATGTTGAACGGTTTTGTTGTTTGGATTTAGCAACAGACGATAATTGTTGTTGTTGTTGTTGTTGTTGTTCATCAAGAAAACGATAATCATCATACATTGAATGTCGATTAACATTTTTAGCTTGTTTATAATGTGGTCGACGAAAAGTACCATTTGGTTGTTGTTGTTGTTGCTGTTGCATTCGAATATCACTATTACGTATTGACAGACGAGAATCTGGTCTTGAAGGTCTTGGTGATTGATCGTCATCATCAAAATCACTTTGACCACCATGACCTTCAAGACTATTAGGTTCATCATCGTCATCACCATCTGAATGAGCTGTTCTAACAACCACATGATGATGACGATGATGATTTTTTTGTGGTCTTGATACATTAATGAGTGAACTATTAGGTGTTGTTGAACTTTTCCGAGGTTTGACAGGAGGTCCAATTATTGAAGTACTTCCTGTTGACGATGGTGGTCGATAACGTTGTCGATTAATTTCATCATCATCATCATTATCATTATCTTCCGGTCTATTTGATACCACAGATGAACTATTTAGATAATTTGTTGTAGAAGGAAGTGCTTCAACTGACAGTGCAGGTGACGAACGATTAGGTTGTGATAATGATTCTGTTAATGCACGACGATTATTAGGGCGAACATATTTTGCTCGTCCATCAGATGGTGGTATTGGTGCTACATCATATCCATTAGTTCTTGTTGTACTGTTATTATTAAGACTACGTGCTGTTGACAATTGACTTTCAAAACCATTCGAACGTTTATCACGTAGATAAACTTCAAAAACACTTCGACAAAAATAAAGTCCACGATTTTGTGCGTAATCAAATGCTGATACACCATGCATATCTAAATATAGAAGATTAATAAAATATCGCAAATAAAGAAAAAAGAAACAAATATTTATATACCTTTAGAATGTGGATCAGCACCATGATCTAATAGTTCTTTTAATACACGTGCATGACCATTTTTAGTCGCCAAATGAAGTGGTGTTTGACGATATTTATCACCTTCATGTACATAAGAATAATCATTAAGTTGTTCACTCATTTCAAAGATAAGTCGACATGCATGAACTGAACCTTGTTCAGCAGCAACATGTAAACATGTTCGACCCTCATTGTCACGTAATTGCATTGTTTCAAATGATAATAAAGATTTTAAACATTCTAATGGTTCAGTTTTACGTACACTATGATGAATCCATGTACGACCGTCATCATCGTTTTCCATGATATCATCCATATAACGAGATAATTCCTGAATACAAACATTTATTTGTGAAATATTTCCTATAAAAACAAAACAAAAACAAAATCGTACTTTAAAGTGATCATAACGATCAAGATGACATGCCCACATAGCTGGTGTCATTCCATCAGTATCTCGTGCATGTATATCAGCTTGATATTCAATTAAAATTTTTAAACAATCAATATTTTCAGCTAACACAGCCCAATGTAATGGTGACCGTAAATGTACATCTTGTTTATTGACATCAGCATTATTTTCTAATAAAAGTCGTACTATATCAATATTACATTGTTGTCCATCATCACTATAACACGCACGATGTAAACAAGTTGAACCATCATTAGCTTGAATATTGATATTTGCTGATGGTTTACATTCAAGTAATAAATAACGTAAAATATGTATTTGTTGATATTGTACAGCATAAGTTAATAAATCACGTCCAAATGAATCAACACGATCAATTAACTCGGGTTCTGAATTTAATAATTCTTTAACATAACGTAAATCACCTTCACGCACAGCTACAATAATTGGTGATAAATTAACAAAATTATTTAATGAATGTTTTGGTATTGTTTGTTTAACTTTATTTGATTCAACATCGATCCATGGCCATTCAAATTTATCGGGTGCTTCACGAAATGGTGTTAAGGGACTGAGACCACGTTCAATTGTCCACTGTAATGGTTTTTGTTCTTTATCACGTTTTTGTAATATTAAATAATATTGTTGAAGAAAATGGAGACCATGTAAAAGTGTATCACGTAAACGTGAACTTGTCTCTTCATCGGGTAATTTTAATAAAAATTCGAGTATAATTGATGATGTCTTTTGAAAATCTTTACGTTTTATCGCCATTATATAAATACATATAAGAATTTATTTTTACTAAAATATCTACATCTGAAACATAAACATACATACTTATCGACATAGAGACAAATAGCAACCTGAGCAAACAATCACTAAAAAAAAGTGTTAAAGAAGAAAAGAGAATAAGGATAAACTATGAAATTTTATTGACATAATTTGTTTATTCATTACTTTTTCGGTCAAGTAAAATGATGAACTATACTCCAGATTATAGCAAAATAGATGTTCTTTTCTTTTTCTTATTTGCATGTCAAATGACTGCTGAGTGTAAAATGTAGGCGTAAACTACGTACGTATTCCATTCTTTAATGTCTCTGTCAAGCTATATAAAAAAATGTGGAACAAAATAACACTTATATTAATCAAGTATGCGTGTTTGAGTATGAGCAGTTTTGAGATCTATCAGAAATGTATAGTTTAATAACAAGCCAGAAAGAGAGAGTATGTGTAAAAAGGAAGATATGCACACAAACGATCACTGAGCTTTCAAAGTTAATCGACGAGATGGTGAGATGAGGTAAAGCGTGCACGTCTACAATCGTGGTTGGCATGCGAGCAGAACGAGAGAAAACAACAAACTTGTAATACGAAACTTTTTTCTTTTTTTTTCTCTCTCTTTTTTTTTTACAACACAGACACTCACTAGTGCCGTCACGACGCAGGAGGCCGCCTTTCACTACATACTACCTGTTGTTTCAATGTTGAATAAAATAGAGGAAGAAAAGGCATTGAAAAAGAAAGAAAAAAAGAAAAGAAAATATTATAAAAGACTGCCCAATTTCCAGTTCGATGAAGAAAAGACCAAAAAAGAAAAAGACAAGATTCATTTATTTGATTGGATAACCTAAAAAAAGAAATCATTAAAAAACTACACAAAAACAAACTTAAAAATAAGTTTCTTTTGCGTATATAAAAATTTTAAAAAGTTGTTTGTTGATTCATAGCATAACCAGTTGTGAAAATGCTAATACAACATCAATATTATAAATATGAATAAAATGTCTTTTCTTGGTTTGGTAATCAATGAATGGTATTAAAAGTTTATGGGTTAGTTTTTTTAAAAGATATTAGCCCTTCTCTCATATGCTTATCAAATAATTTATGACTAAACAAATCAACATATCATAAAATCTAATTCTACCATACTTATATTTTATCTTCATGACATTTTCTATTCTATCTATCATATTTCAATTGATAATTGATTAGAAATATCTAAACATTTATCATTAATTAGTTATTGATAGACCGAGCTTCTCTTTCAAAAAAAATATAATTCAACAATACATAATTTCTGTAAAATAGGTTTTTAATGATTTCTATGTAAAATTAATAAAAGTCAAAAATAGGGTAGTGTTTTTTTTCTTCATCTCTTTCATTAGGAATGTTACTATTAGCATCGTCATCACTTTTTAGTATTGAAAAACAAGATAATATCTAAAATAAGATGGTAAACATTAAACATACTATAATTTGATTGTTTTTGATACATTTTATTTTGTTTTTTTAAGTGCAATTTTTCATGCAGAAAAAATGAATTCTTTTATGTTGTCTATTTTTCAAAATTATTTACAAGTACAAAAGAAATTGTTCATCTGTCAGATATACATTATTAACTAAATGAAATGGCATTTTTTTAGTTGAATGTTGTAAATCAATAGGATGAAGAATTTTCTTTTAAAATTTACTTCATATCCTTTAAATGAAACAGAAGAATCGAACAACAGTAGTACTAAGTTTACAACAGAGAAAAAAAACGAGTTTATCCATTAAGAAGATTTTACCATTGCGTAATAAATCTATTACGTGATATATAAATTGATAAAAAAAAATGAAAAATAATTAGCCTTATATCCAAGTTATAGAAAAAGTAGAGTAATTGAACACATTTTTTTTTTAACATAATATTGAAATATGATACATGAGAACAAACAAAGTGAATGCAATGTGGGATTAAAACAAATTTTTGTTATGTCTAGATTTCGAAATGTATTAAGA